GCCGACTATTCTGTCATCAGTGGGTCGTTCGCCGCGAAGTTAAAGAAAGTTCGGACAGCTTAGCAAGGCCCTGAAATCCGCACAGCCGGAGGTCATCTCGTAACGCCTGCAGGAATATGCACAGCGAGAGTCACCATTAACGGCCGTATTTATCCTACAGACTTCGTAGTCCTACAGCGTTGCTCGAGAGATGTCATCCTTGGCATGGACTTCTTATGCCTCCATGGTGCTGTCATCAACCTAAAAACAAAGTCGATAACGTTATCCACAGAAGAAGCACTACCGCCGCGCACGCCGTCAGGACACCATGCCTTGAATGTGCTGGAAGAACAAGTCACCATTCCGCTTCGCTCAAGCGTCATTATTTCAGTCGGCGCTCCTAAATCACCTGACTTGGAAGGCGTCGTTGAAGGCATCTGTTGAAGTCATTGAAGTCGTTGAAGTCAGCATCTGTTGGTCACCTGAAATATTTGCATCGCAAGAGGAATTGCAGAGCTGCGGGGAGGTAAAGCAACGGTTATGCTCACGAATTTCAGCAATGAGTACAAACATGTGACCAAAGGAACAACGGTCGCATACATCGAAGAAATTGTCGAAGCCACCAGTGCTTTCGCCCTCGCCGATTCTGCGGAACCTGCTCAGAGGAACCAAGCCCCTCCCATAGCTTTCGACGTCAATCCCAGACTTCCGAACGATAAGCAAGAACAGCTCGAGGCCCTGGCTCCTGCAATACGAAGATTGCTTTTTCGTCGTCATCGAAAATTCGGCAGACCCCAATCACGAAACATCGCATCATAACCGAAGAAAATGCCAGACCACTTCCGTCAGAGTCCCGTACAGGGGTTTTCGACGCGAGAACGTGAGGCCATGAAGAGACGAGTTGACCGAAATGCTGCGGGATGACATTATCCAGGCCGTCCAAGAGTCCATGGGCATTCCCCGTGCTGTTAGTGAAGAAAAAGGATGGGACCCTACGTTTCTGCGTCGATTATCGCCGCCTGAAACAATCACAGGAAAGGATGTGTATCCTTTTCGGCGAATAGACGACGCACTTGATCGGCTCCATACGCCAAGTACTTTTCGGTCAATGAACATCAGACTTGCTATTGGCAAATCGAAGTCGACGAAAGAGACCGAGAGAAGACGGCGTTTATAACACCGGACGGCCCCTTCGAGATTAAGGTGATGCCCTTCGGTCTTTGCTCAGCGCCTGCAACTTTTCAACGCGTTATGGATACAGTACTGGCAGGATTGAAGCGGGCAGACCTTGCCTTGTTACTTGGACGACGTCGTCGTGTTTTCCTCGAGTTCGACGAGCATCTTTGGCGCCTTAAAAGCTGTACTTCAAGCCATCGAGACTTCCGGACTCGCACTGAAGCCGGGAAAAGTGCAGATTTGCGTATGAGGAGCTCTTGTTTCTGGGGCAGGTTATCAGCAAGTCTGGAGTTCGTCCCCATCCACGGAAATCAGCTTCCATTGCCGACTTCCCGTCACCCACTGACCAAGAAAGCCGTGCGCCGATTTCTGGGCCTGTGCGCCTATTATAGGCGGTTCGTGAAAAACTTCGCCCGCATCGCCGATCCTCTCACTAACCTTACCAAGGCCGACGTGGAGTTCAAGTGGGAAACGCCACAGGAACACGCTTTCCAGGAGCTTAAACATCGCCTCCAGACGCCTCCGTTTCTTGCCCATTTCGACGAATTCGCCGAGACAGAAATACATACTGACGCAGCAGCGTAGGTTTTGGCACCGTTCTTGTGCAGAGGGCTGACGGACTTGAATAGGTTATTAGTTTACACCAGCCGATCGCTATCCAAAGCAGAAGCAAATTATTCCACAACAGAAAAGGAGTGCCTCGCCATCATATGGGCTAGTCGAAATTTCGCCCCTACCTCTACGGCAGACCCTTCAAAGTTGTGAGCGACCACCACGCCTTGTGTTGGCTAGCCACCTTGAAGGACCCTTCAGGTCGCCTCGCACGATGGAGCCTGAGACTCAAGAATATGACATTACTGTCATTTACAAGTCCGACAAAAAACACTCCGACGCCGACTGTCTCTCTCGTGCGCCTGTCGACCTACCGCTACCCGACGACCCGGATGACGACTACTTCTTGGGAACGACAACTACCGACGACTTCGCTGAACGACAGCGGGCCGACCCGGAACTTAAGGCCCTAATAGAATACCTCGAAGGCAGGACCGCCGAAGCCCCGAAGGTATTCAAGCGCGCACTTGCGTCGTTCTTTCTACGAAACGGTCTTCTACAAGAGAAAAACTTTTCACCGCTTCGAGCTAAGTACCTCCTTGTGGTGCCTTCTGCTCTGCGACCATGGTGCCTTCTGCTCTGCGACCAGATCTCCTGCAGGCCCTGCACGACGATCCGACGGCAGGGCACCTCGGTGTTTCTCGCACGCTCGCGAGGATACAAGAAAGGTACTACTGGCCACGTCTTACCACCGACGTCACTCGTTATGTGAGGACATGCCGGGACTGCCAGCGACGCAAGGCACCACCGACAAGGCCAGCGGGACTTCTGCAGCCAATCGAACCACCTTGCCGACTTTTCCAGCAGATTGGTATGGACCTACTCCGGCCGTTCCCGACGTCGGCTTTCGGAAAAAAGTAGATCGTGATAGCTACCGACTACCTCACCTGCTACGCCGAGACAAAAGCCCTTCCAAAAGGCAGTGCATCCGAGGTAGCTAAGTTCTTCGTCAAAAATATCGTCCTACGTCACGGCACCACGAAGGTCCTTATCACCGACAGAGGAACGGCATTTACTGCCGACTTAACTCAAGCGATCTTGGCATACAAGCAGACAAACCACCGCCGGACGACAGCGTACCACCCACAGACCAACGACCTCACCTAGCGGCTTAATAAGACGATCACCGACATGCTGGCAATGTACGTCGATGTCGAACACAAGACGTGGGACGCCATTCTTTCGTACGTGACCTTCGCATACAACACGACGGTGCAGGAGACGACGCAGATATCTCCACACAAATTGGTCTACGGAAGGAGCCCGGCAACGACACTCGATGCCGTGTTACCCAACGTCACCGACGAAGAAAACCTCGATGTGAGTAAGTACCTTCAACGCGCCGAAGAAGCGTGCACAACTCGCGCGTCTCCGTATCAAGAATCAACAGACGACCGAAAGCCGCCGTTACAATCTTCGACGACGCTTCGTGGAATACCAGCCCGGTGAACGTGTTTGGGTGTGGACGCCGATACGCCGACGTGGACTAAGTGAAAAGCTTCTGCGACGGTCCTTCGGACCGTACAGGATGGTTCAACGTCTCGGCCCACTTGATTACGAGGTTGTCCCCGACGGCATCACGAACTCTCAACGACGCCGATCGCGACCTGAAGTCGTCCATGCCGCGCGCCTCAAGCCATTTCATCCGCGTTGACAAATTGAAACAGTTTTTTGTATTATTGTTGTATCGTAATTTATTCATTGTACTTTCTTGCATTATTATTGTACCTTCATCTTTAGTTAAAGCATCGGGACGATGCCTTTTTCAGAGGGGGGCAATGCCACGTTCCATTTCCTAAGTTTTGTTATCGTCCCAAAACACTACACAGTTCTCAGCGCAAACCGCGCCTGCAGTTTTCGAGAAGCTTCCGGACTGCAGTAGATCATTTAGATAAGATCACGCCTACTCTGCGAACTGTACAGATTATTCTGGAACCTACGCCACCGCCAGCGATAACGCTGGAACATTCGACGGCAAGAGTATAAATGTCGACGCGCTCCACCACTTGTCAGTAGTTGATCGACGGCCGACGCTCCGTACACTGCTATCTGTGCAAGACTGCTACTGTAATCGAACTTTCCGGGCACAGGTTCGCCCAAATGAACAGTTAAATCCCAACATAAAGTCTCCTGTCTTCGGCCACGTGACTATATATATATATATATATATATATATATATATATATATATATATATATATATATATATATATATATATATATATATATATATATATATATATATATATATAGTGGATGAAGGGACGCCGCTGTGATAGCTCAGTGGTTAGAGCATCGAACGCGTTATTCGAAGGTCGTAGGTTCGATTCCTACACACACACACACACACACATATATATATATATATTTAAAATTTTAATTTTTTTCATCCACTTTTCTAATTAATTTTTTCATCCACTTTTCTTTCTTCTTTTTCTTATTTACGTTCCATTGGTTCTAATAACTTCCCCTGTACATTCCTTGGCATTACTGTCTGTTATATCTCATTAATATTGTGTTAAAACACGGAAATACGAGCCCTTAGGTATACACTTCTCTCCCTTATTTTCATTGAACGAGGGTCTCGTACTGGCAGACTTGGTTTGTTTAGGTTGTATAAGAGAGACAATTAATCAGCTGCCCGCTCATAATAAGTTCACGTGTTACGTGACGCCAAACATGCGAATAAGAGTGTTTTCACACTCGTTCGTTGGCTTATAGATGGCGCTGACTGTCACTCCTACTTCTAAATTCACATATAAACCCCAAAAAGTGGATGGAAGGACGGCCGCTGTGATAGCTCAGTGGTTAGAGCATCGAACGCGTTACTCGAAGGTCGTAGGTTCGATTCCTGCTCACAGCCGGTAATTTTTTCATCCACTTTTTTTCTTCTTTCTTCTTATTTACGTTCTATTGGTTCTAATAACTTCCCCTGTACATTCCTTGGCATTACTGTCTGTTATATCTCATTAATATTGTGTTAAAACACGGAAATACGAGTCCTTAGGTATACACTTCTCTTCCTTATATGTATGTATGTATGTATATATATATATATATATATATATATATATATATATATATATATATATATATATATATATATATATATATATATATATATATCTTCCTCGTGGTAACAGTGCATAGACTATTATCCAGCACTTCCACCAGTCATGTTGCACAGTAACTGTAACCTGTAGATATGGCACACAAGGTCGTCAAACTGATTCAAACAATGGCAATAAGACTTTATTGTTTTCCTCTGAACATGCATCTTCGTCCTCTTCAGAACAGCAGTACATACAAGCCTGCTAGCATCTATGGAAGTAATACTTTCAGAACTTGTACTAGCGGCAATATGTCGTCGAAACTCATTTGTAATTACAATAAAAATAATTAGGTCGTAATAAACAGTGAACTAGATAGCTTTTGGGAGTATGAAATGCTGCCATCTTTTCACAGTAGGTCAGTTGAAGAAAATTGGCTGATGTTTAGGGAAAAGGTGTCCACATTAATATATATATATATACATTCCTCGCATTAAGATCAGTAACTGTACATCTAATCCTTGGTTCACAAAAACCCTTAGCCGTATGAAAAATAGAAAGCGAATGTATAAGCACGCCAAACACGTAGGAACACCATCAGCATGGACTGATTGCAAAGCCTACCTTAAATGATACTTCTCCGCCATGCTCACAGCAAAGGATAAATACTTTTCAAATGATCTGCCACAATTACTCAAGAACAATCTAACAAAGTTTTGGAAAACATTGAGCCCAAATCAAGGAAGTTCACAAATCGTCTTGCACAATGACAACGCAGTTGCCCTTTCTGAGAGTGAGTGTTCTGTGGCTTTCAATTCCTTTTTCACGTCAGTATTCACAAGTGAGGATAGCTCAGCGGTACCGCTTGCACACGATTTCGATTATAATCACATGGCACCAATAGATTACGATTGAGGGCATTGCTTCACAAAGAAAAAATCTTAAATTATCTTCATCGTGTGGGATTGATAGAATAAATTCTAAGATACTAAAAAACACCATATCTATGTCAAGCATCATCCTGTTTCACATCTTCAGGCAGTCCTTATTGTCCGGTGTCCTTCCTTCTGACTGGAAAATAGCAAAAGTAGTGTCTATCTAAAAAAAATGGAAGTAAAAATGCATGTGAGAACTACAGGCCCATCTCACTTACCTGCATTTGCTGCAAATCGCTGGAACACGTCATTGCTTCGCATGTTTACAAACATCTCGACTCGATCAACTTCTTTTTCTCGAATCAACACGGTTTCAGAAAAGACCTTTCTTGCGAGACAAAATTACTCGATTTTACAACAGATATCCACATTAACATGAATCACTTCTTACAAACAGACTGCTTATTCCTTGACTTCTCGAAAGCATTTGATCGCGTTGCACATTGCCGCCTCATATCAAAACATTCAGCTCTAAAACTGGACTCCTCTACATGGTCATGGCTACGTAACTTCCTATCCAATCAAGAGCAATTTACTTTTGTTAATGAAGTCGATTCCTCTAAATCTATCATTTCTTCCGGTGTGCAGCAGGGTAGCATCCTTGGGCCTCTGTTGTTTTATAAATGATCTGCCTAATAATATTAACACCACCTCTCGCATACGAATATTTGCCGATGACTGCATAATTTATCGCCCAATAACCAACATTGATGATCATATCACGCTTCAATGAAACCTAGAAATAGTAAACCAGTGGTTTAACACATGGCTCATGACACTAAACGTGTCGAAGTGTAAAATTATGTCTTTCACCCGCAAACCTGTTAATTCACAGTTTTCTTATCACATCAACAGTAGTGTCATATGGCCGATCGCGACCCATAAGTATCTAGGCGTGCACTTTACACCTAATCTATCATGGACAAAGCACATAACTTGCGTATGTGCCAGTGCATCCAAACCATTAGGATTCTTGCATCGAAACATGCGCAGTGCACCCTCCCCCTAACGAAAACTTGCGTATCTAACTTTTGTGCGACAGCAGCTTGAGTATGCGTCTCTGATTTGGTCCCCCCATCAGAAATACCTTATTGAAGCATTAGAAATCATTCAGGATAGGGCAAGCCCTTTCATTGCTCACAACTATAGTAACCTGTCTGGTATCACAAATAAAAAATAAACTATCATTACCGTCGTTAAGTACCCGTTGTAATATTGCATTGCTGCCATTGTTCTATAAGGTTATTCACTCTGACGACTTATCACTACCCTGTTTGAATCATCAAGTCTATACGTCGCGAAGATTGCACAACACTCTCAGTTACGCCCGCCTATATGGTGTGACGCAATCATTCAATTTTTCCCCGCTACCTCCCGCTAATCGTCTCTGAAACAGCTTACCAGACAACATTGCTTCACTTGAAAGACCATGACGCTTTTTGTCTTCAGTTGAACAAACATTTTTCCACACACTTGGCTTAGTATCCTTGATTTTTTTTATTTGTAAACCTTCTTTTTGATAAGCTATTGTAAGGGAGCTTTTCAAACTGATCGCGTCTGTCTTTTCATATCACTGTAACACATTTTTTTTATTCTTTTACAATGATGCCATTGTATAGTGGCTGTTACAATGTGTGTTGTGTCTGTACTTTGTATTATATTACTGGCATGCAATACTTACTATGTCGTGCGCAAATAATAATTTTCTTGCACATATAAATATCTGTTAATATCTTTTTACTTGTTATTTTATTCTATGTTATTTTATTCTACTGCCCTGAAATTGTACTCTGTGGAAATTTTTCTTTACAATGTGTTGAATTCTACTGTATGCCCCCTCACCCTATGGGGTCTGTGAGGTATTCTTATATATATATATATTGAGCGCAGTCAGCGACTTTTGTTTGGCTGTGTTCCAATTAAAGACAGCATCGTAGACAGTCTACGCTGACAGCTTAAAAGACAGCATCTAACCAATGTTGTCCGAGAAATGAAACACGTCTGGACGACTTCTACGCAACGAGACGGCACTTCGCGTCAAGAAAAATAAAGCCAAGACAAACAATTGTAACTGTAATTTTCTTAGCTTATTGCATGTTCAAATCTACGACAATTTGAACGTTGTTCACACTAAGCATTTAAAAAAGCGTCTGCTTGTGTTCAGATGACCATTCCGCCGAAATTCAGGCCATCCAGGCAGTGCACCGAGCCGCCATCTTGTTTGGACAGAAATGTCTTCTCGAAGCTGTCTATTTTGCCAGCTATGAGAGAATTGAAATGGGACTTAAGATGGCCGCTGTCCACTTAGCTGTCTATTTTATTTAGTCGTCTACGGTGAGTGTAAAAACACACCCTTTGGCAACTGGTTGTGTTATTATTTGTGTAACTTCCTCTCAGTGATGATTACCCCATTTACAATTTCAAGCAATTTTCGGAGCAGGAAAAAGTCTGTTTTGGAACAAATTTGGAGCGGGAGGAACTGTGTTTTGGAGCAGATTCGGAGCAGAAAAAACGAAATTTAGTATCACTTGGCACAGAACATGTCTAATGTTTCAGTGAATATTCTTACTAGTGTTTAAACTGGAAATGCTGCTACAATGTAAACAAGGAGAAAAGGCAGACATCCAGAAAGCAGCCATTAATCAGGTTCTCAGCACCAAAGTGTCACATTCTGGTTTCACTGCACTGCACAAGATGTGCAAAAGTGAAGCGTTAGTGACAAGAACAGTTACATGTGTTCATGACAAGGTAAGTATGGGGCATACTGTCTCTGCGAAATGACAGGTGTGATAAGGTCATTCCGAAAAATAAAATCTAATCAGAAAACCAGCAGTCTAACAATTCTGAACAGGGAATAAACACCCCGCCCGTCCTTAACTAGTGTCAAAAGACGCGAGGGTGAAGGCAAAGGGGGGGTCGTTCTAGCACCAACTGCGACCTTTGATTTTTACAAGCGCAGTCGCCACTGGAGCGCGCGTTATCTCGCCAGCTCGAAGAATGTTCCTGAGGCAGCCATACTTTGTTAAATTAAACCAGCATTTTGCAGATTTGTGTGAGATCGGGTCTTTAAAAGTGTGCTGCCAGCCTCACTTCGTATAACATTGCAATTTGTTTCTATCACATTAATCGCTTCACTCATGCAGTGAAACTGCCTTTTTTTTTTCGGTGGACTGACGACAACACCAATTGTTCTAACGGCATTAAGGAGGCATGAGAGCATTTTGTTCTTTTTGTGGCTGAATTCGCATCTTAATAACTATGTGTGCTGGTTTAGATCCGTCGGTCTGAAAATCAAGACGCGTGACAAGCCCTTGCACACTTTATAATAGACATAGCGAAGAACATTGCGCAGCGTGATCAAGAGGAGTATACTTTTTTTGCAAAATATCAAACAAAACGTTTCACGGCCGAAATTTAATTTGCGGGAATACAATGTTTCTAGCACGCAGTGCTGATACCTGCTGCCCATTCGCTATGGTCACTACATTACAGTACTCAAGGTGACTTTTCTTTGCGTTATCACCAGTTTCATAACAAATAAGAGAGGCTATTTATGGCATGCTGAACTTTCAACAACGAGACACACGCAGAGAGGCAGGCACTTTGGTTAGCAGCAGCATTATGAAAAAGCTCTAGTTGTGTTTGCTGTAACCAAAAATAGTTTTGTTGCCAAAAACGGTCCAACGCCGTGTGCAAAGGCAGACTAGCGAACTTTGGCGCAGTTGGCACAAGCTGTATTCGAGCGTGGGCAGCAAGGCGCACAGATATAAAATTGTAGCGAAATGGCGCAATTGCCACAGTTGGATCACCACTGTCATCTGTATATAACATCATCAGCAGGTCAGCTCGAGCTTGTCTCGAATAAAGCGCTTCCTTATATTAAATATTTGAAGTGGCAATTCTAACGTGGCTTGGGCATGCCACCTTAGCCTTGAACTTTATCATTACACACCGTGGTGGCCTAGTGATTATGGCACTTAAATGCTGATCTGAAAGTTGGAGGTTCGAATCCCAGCATTGGCTTTCACACTTATATGCAGGGGTAAAAACGTGCATTTAGGTTACACGTTAAAGAGACAAGGTAAGCAAAAGAGTAAAGAAAAAGAATTTTTTTTTCTGTGAACTTTAAAATCAGCAGCCTCTTCTGAACAAGGATTGGTCATAACTACTACAATTCATGACCGAAATTGATTTTTTTGACAGCTTCCATTTCCTTTTGGATGTTATAACATCCATATATGGTACTTAATGTTTAAAAAGATTAGTTCGATGTAATGTCATGGCATGCACCATTCTTGTGTGTCACCTATGTTTGTTGGGGCCGCACAATTTCTCAGCAAAATTCTATTTTCAGATGAATCGGTTAGCTATGGCCTCTGCAAATCTTGTATACTTTTATTTTTCACTGTTGTCGCATTTTCATGAAGTCCAAAATATTATTTACTTTCCATCATGAACCTGCCACAGGAACCCTACTTCCAGCTTTGACAAAACAGAGTTGCATAATGTTGCAGTCATCACTGCAGCTTCGGTATGTGGGTGCCAGCTCCAGCACATTCAAGGAGTACAGTGCCGCCCTCCTGTGGGCAAGGTTTAAACTTGGCCTGTCGAGACAACACAAAGCACACACACCATCACTATGACAGTAGACAAAACTGTAGCAAATTAGTGGTAAAAATCAGGGTTGCCAGGCTTGGCTACATTGTGGCAATTTGGCTACTTTTTAAGGCCTGTGGCAGCATAGAAAGGTATAGACTACTTCTTGGCTAGTTTCTTGTCGACTCATTTTTTTAATTGCAAAAGTTTGCCCAGTGGCATTTATACATATATACAAAAACTGTTCAGTTGCATTTCCTTCATAAAGTCTTGGAAGGACCAGTTGTTCAGACCGTAAATCTATCGCTGCAAGTCAGGCAGATGGCATTGACGAGCCCCTTGAAGCCCGTTCAGGTCTGCTCCCCGCATCAGCGCAGGGCAAAGTGCAACACAACCTCAAGGTGAATCAAACATCTTGAATAAGTATGGAAGCTTGATTGACTTAGTCCATCGTGGTTGACGAAGCACACACGACAGCCGCTGTCCTGTGAGCATACTGACGAAGGCTGTTGGAAATGATTGATTTGAGCGTTAATCTGCAGGATAATCGTTTTGAAAAGTTTTCGCAGTGAGTACCAGAGTTTCCACCAGATGGATCTTGAATTTAGCCACAATTGAATAACAGCATCATAACATTTTTCCCAAACGTATAGCTACTCTTGGCACAAACTGACTCCTTTATGGCTCAATTTTTTCATTTCATGGCTTTTGTCATTTTGACCTGGCAACCCCGGTAAAAAATGCTGTGATAAAGCTTTAAAACGTGGTACCAGCAAATACACACAAACACATGCACAAGAAGGCGGTACACACAGAAAAACATTGGCCTTTCAACTGTGCTTTGTTTGAAATCACATTGCCGTACAAGATTTCTCATACATGTGCATTGCATCACTTCCCACGTCACGTGACAGCTCACACTTACTTTTCTGCTAAGTGAACACACTCTTTCGAAATCAGTGACAAGGCCTTTATGATTAAGCAATGTGAAATGCTTCAGTGAAAGACGCCAACAGTCCTAGATGTGAATTAACTACAATGCAGAGGAATTGTTGTCCAAGGTAAAATAGTGGATAGCGGGACATTATTTCTTAAGCGTTTCGTTGCAGAATAGAGGCGAGGATGCTGGAGAGCCACTCGGGATTGATGCAGGCTGATCAGACAGTCAAGACGTGAGAATAGTTACAGAATGGGCAGACATCTCTATCTGTAGATAAAATGCATACAAAACAGTCTAGGGGCGACTTGGAGAGGATCGAAACATAAGTGCATAGGCCTGGAGAATTGAACTAGGTTGTTTTGTGCCTGGCTACTAATAACATCACCTACACTTGCCTTGGCATCACTGCATGTCAGTTCTCATTATTATCATGTTGTGTTATGTGCGCACAGGCAACAAGTGCGGTGCAACAGGTCGCAAAATTTACAATGCAGAACTTTTTCGAGCCTCAAGTAAAGAAAAAAGACAAATTATACAAACGCAATCGTATCTTCCATGCACCAAAAAAAAGGCCCGGACTTTCACCATAGTGTACTGAAAAAGTTAAGTGCACGGTAGGCAAACACATGGAAACATACACAATCGAAGTTTGTATGCATTATCTTGTGTCATTTTCCGTGTTTAATACTGAGTAAACAATGAAACTCTAGTCCTACATGTGCTAAAGAAAAAGCTTAAAACTCGTAAGCAATCTAGTGCGATAGAAACAAAAAAAAAACACACAATTGCCAAACTGCATTGCAATGAGCAGTTGCTAAGAGTTTTCTAGTCCCTTTTGTAGACATTGTTTGAGCTGTGCAAGTGGTTGAGTAATTCTATTGTTGCCAGTTTTGCATGTGATATCCTAGCTGTCATGTAGCACCATAAATGACATGGTACGGATTCACTCGCACGCGGAGTGCTGTCAAGGGGTAAAGGCTGTATAGGAGGAGTGAATGTTGAAATAGCACGGTCCCCAATGTGCCACGTATTCAGAGCTTCTTCCCCACTATTCCCATTCATAGATAGCGCAGCTCATTTTAAACCATGTTTAGTTTCCTACAATTCCTACTAGAGAGAACTCTGGTGCTGCGATCGTTCAGCCACCACGAAAATGAGGGGTAGCAGTATATAGATTTGCCCAATCTTTGTGCTTGCAGCTTAAAACACACACTTGTGGCTTCATTTATTGTTGTCTCGGACAAAGACTGAATCATTGTGAACTTCGCAAACTGATGCCTCAAAGGTGGCAAAGTGAAATTGCTCAACATTTGCTAATTTTGGTCTTTTGACAAAGTGGTTTCAGGCCAAACAAAGCCCAAAGAACGAAGTTTAGACAAATCCGTGCACTACCCATTATTCCCATGCTGGCTGAAGCGTCATGCATTGGAGCTCCTACAGAGTTCCTTTCTGTATATTTATAGAATGTAAATATGGTATGCAGTTGAAAAATTACGTATATGCCCGGATGAACTTTCATTAAAGCGCTGAAGGTTAGAACAAGCTTACCTGTGTTAATAGATGGGCAACATAGATGGCAGTTTCAGTGTGCGATGTCAGAGGTCCACAGAGAATTCGCGATGTTCCATTCGCAAGTGCCATTAACACAATCAACTGGAATGGAAGACGGCACATCTGCATTAGGCTTTGGCTGGCCCTTTTGAATGACAGTTATGACATAGAAGAAGCTTGCTTTTAATACGAAAGTGTTTTATGCCAGGGTCCACCAAGACTTCAGTGCGTATTTCCATCACAGAAATGACAGCAAAAAAACACACATGATCAGAAAGCAAAAAAAAAAAAATGTTCTGTCGACGAGAATCGAAACAACGACATTTCCGTCTGCGATAACAGAGGCTGAGCCCGCTAACCACTGCGCTACGCCCACATACGCTGGAAGCTTTACAGATATGCCTTTTATATCTAACATTGTCATTTCACAGCGCTCATGGTGAAGTGAAGTAATGCATGACGACCGTGACATCCACAATTAGTTCTTCAATGCCTCTTTTTTACGTGTCTGTCCAACCCAGCACGTTTACAATAGAATAAGTGCAATTTCGTCAATGCATTAACGTAGAATCAGATGACGACATTACAATTGGCATTGGCTTTGCCCATAAAATTCATACCAAATAGCTCCAAGTCTGGCTGTAGCAACATATTTTCCACTTACATTCGTCTCGCTAAATATCTCAGTCAGCCAACAGCGTAGAAACGATGCACCATGTGTTGCTCTCTAGTTGGGCAGGGGCATTCAATATTCTAGCATGCCGCCAGTAGGCAATTTTAGAGCAAGCCCAGCATCCATTCACTTACGGCTCTCCTGGCTGTCACACTGCTTTCCCACATTATACTTTCACCGCGAACTACTACACCTACCACAAGAGTCTGTGACCTGAAGGGCTTGTTTAATCACTGATCATGAACATTAGTCATCGAAATAGAGACGCATTACTAAGCATCAATGTGGGCGCACTCCCGTTAAACAATGGTATAGCGGTCAAAAATAGACTTTGTGGAAGCTCTCATATCAATGTACCGTAAACACTCAACTACTTCTATAAGGACAAGTTTCGTTTTTGCGTTATGCCGATTTCTGTGAGGGATAAATGAACTACACTCAAACATTATAAAAAAGTTGCATCTTGTGGGAATTGAGGCTAGCCCGCTGCATTTGCGCGGGATTTGCCGCCTCTTTCTCCACTCTCATGTCCCGACACGACTTGCCTCCTCTGCTGTCTGCCGCGCTGGAAGAGCGGAGTGGCGTTTAACCCCTCTCACCCGGTAGCGGATGTCGACTGTGCCGTCGCGCGCAGGTCAGAGACTTCTCCGGGGCGACATGGCGAAGTCCGAACAAGCGCCACAGGGGTGCTGGGGCTCGTTCCAACGGGGTGGTGGTAAGCACCCCCATGTCGTCCCACCACCCCGTGGGGATGACATAGGGGTGCTTACCACCACCCCGTGGGAACGAGCCCCACAACCCCTGTGGCGCTTGTTCGGACTTCGCCAACAGCGCCTAGCGCTCGTGGCGAACGCTTACCTCATGTCGTCCCCCCCTTCCAAACGCTGGGCTGAGGAGTGGTGCGGGTTCCTAGTGCGTGGCCAGGCTACGCCGACCCGTATCTCTCTGAAGCCAACGCGAGCGCCTTTGCCCTTGCTTGAGCAACCGGGCCTTGGTCTCAGTGTCTCCGTGAATCACTTTTACCATGGAGACGTGCTCGTGGCACTCTGTGTGGTACTTTGCGCCCGTGGCGTGGGTAAGCCCATTTGCTTTCCCGCCGCGCCTTTGCAGCGGGCTGTACTGCGTTTTGGTGTTGCCACAGAAAATAAAGTGTTGCGACCTTGAGCAGTACTGTGTTCTCGCCATGGCAACGGTTAACGCGTGCCCTGCAGCTCGCTAAGACTGGACCCACGCTAGTGGCTGTACTCCTTCGGGATATGTGTCACTACACTGGCGCTCAACTCGGTATCAATAGCGCAGGCTATTACGTAGGGGTAATAAATCTTAGATGCTCTCTTTGAGTTACTTGTATGTTAGATTCATGTGGTCAAGTTAGAAAAAAAAGACAAGCCACTCGAAAAAAAAATTTATAGTGTGGGCCTAATCCCAGCAGATTCGTAGCTTTGCATGGTAGAACTCGTGGCAGGTGAAAAAGAGATACGGACAAAGAAAGTGGTAATGCGCTTACTTCCAACAGAATCTGTTGGAAGTAATGCTGTGATGTCACATGGTCAATTTTGTTTACGATCAGTGCCGATCGCAAGCAAAATTTCATTGGTATCTTTGCCATTGACTAAAAGTTAACTGATATCTTTGCCAAATTAGACACTGATTAATTCCTACCGCGTTACAGCGACCAACTTCATAGACACAAGAGACAGCACCCTTTGCTACGGGCCGGTTGTTCATCTGACCTTGTCTTCCTCTCCTTCTCTCTTTTCATCTTGTTCATGGCGCATACCCGCTGCCCATTTTAAGCTCAAGCCCTTGCGTTGCTCCTTGTCATTACACTCGGCCCCGACCGTGAGCCTAGTGGGCTGCTGACAGCGTCTTCGGCGGGCGGCATTGACTAATCCGGAGTGGCCGGGCTGTACCATGCTCGTACTTCACCTGAAAATTTGCCAAAGGAGGTTTTGGTGGCCAAGACTGGCTGTGCCGTAGCGGTTGCAGGTCTGAGACGCCCGGGCTGTGCCCCTGCTGCTGGTGTTGTGTACGTCTCACCTTGTCGACGTTAACAGTGGAGTGGTGAATTTTAGAAGACGACACTAGCTGTGACTGGGTGATCGGAGCACGCCTCGTCCACGCTGGGGTCGACGTTATTGACTTGGACAAGAAGGAGCGAGCGGCAGATGCAGACCCATATAAAGTGGCTGCATTAGTTGCAACTCGTTGGTCTCGTTATATCGTCGCAGTTGTATAGGCAGTGCTGGAAATTTTGCACGCTGTACTACCACCTGGTGCACTGAGCGGCGGCCTCTGCGCTGCTTGCGATGTGTCAAGGAATGTCGAGGTGTCTGCCGCAATCGTCGTTTGGTGCATGGTCGTTGGTCGTTGGGTGCAAGAGAGCAAACCTCAGGTCCCAGTAGTTTGTCTTTAATGTCTACAGCCGTGTTGGTAATTCCAGCCTCCATTAACGTGGCATCATTGAATGGTACGGGAACGTCGCTGTATGCAACCACATTTTGGAGCCTGTCTGCAAGACGCTAAAGCTGTCGAATGAGGAGTCAAGGCTGTGACTGTCTTGTTGCAGATGGCATTGTTCTCAGTTGGGACGACACTTGGCAAGTAGTGGACATATGCACACTCGGCCAATGACTGTGCCGACTGTTCGGCTGATTTCGAGGGAGCTGGAATCGTTTCACTGTAAGCTGACGCGTTTAAGCACTCCTGCGCTGGCCAGCTTAGAGGCAGGATCACCGGCTGCTGTGACTTGAATGTGGTTTCAGTCTGGGTCATGTCAAGACAGGAAGTCGATCACAAAGCGGAGTTTGGATTTTTGGCCGCTAAACCAAGCTTGCTGCCTTTATCGTTCTTTGACGTTGGGTGTTCCGCAAAGCTTGCTGTGAAGGTGTAACAAGACACAGGTGGATCATCACAGCCGTTTCCCTCAGGAACTCGGTATCTAAGAGTGCGTACGTTGTTACAGGGTGCAGCTGTATCGCCAGCACGGCGCCCTTCACGGTCATCGAGAGATGGGAGGGTGGTAGAGGCCCCAGCTGTCCCGCTGTGGCTTTGTGCCTTACAGCTCCCATGAGTGGTGCACAGAGGGTTGGTAGCGAAGCGGCTGCAGGCACATGAAAGTGGCCAAAAAACAGTAGTCAGTTGGGCATATCATTGAAACCAAGACTGCTGTTGCTCACCTTCAAAATAGTGCCAGGCCTTGCAGCCTCGCGAAGGTGGTCGATGGCCACCAGCCATTTTTGATGTTCTGGCCAGGCATGGAGGGTGCCGAGCGTGTTCAGTCTCGATCTACCTGAAGATGTCATCCTGAATGCCGCGGAACAACAGTAGTTTGAAGACAGGCGGTCAGGGTGACATGGCAGGCGAAGCTCCAGGAAATTGCAACGCCAGACAGCCGAATTGGTGTGAAAGGACTGCGAGGGTATACTGGAGCTTGCTGCGTCTCTCCGGTGAGGTTGTTGCATGGTCTCGCCAGGCGGCTGCGGCCAACGCCTCATCGATGGAGTACAGTCCTGGCAAGGCTGCAGGGAACAGTGCAGAACTCGATGCTGTTAAGGCGCTGATTGCGAGGCGGAGTCACGCGATGGTGCGGGACAGCTCGGTGGGGGCTTTCAGGCAAACTGCATGCAAAGCCAGGGTTGACGTTTGAAGATGTGGAGTACTCCCCCTATTAGCATACACACTGCGGCGGTATTCTTGGCCGAGAGGGCCTAGACAGCACTCCTGAGCGGCTAAGGTGCCGATGGAGTATGGAGTGGGAGGTCAGCACGGAACGTGTGGGCACCGGTGCCTGGCAACAGGAGTCTGCGTGGTGTCTTGGTGGCAGCGATATATGCCAAGAAAGCTTGAACGGCATCAATTCAAGGCTCACTGTTTGGATGAGTCTTGAGGCCAAGATCGGCGTCACGGGGAGCATACGTGACGTTGCTGAGCGAATGGAGCCCGTACACCATCTCAGACGCAGGTGGTAGTGATGTTCCTATCAAGTGGCATCCTAGAACCATCAAAGAGGCACTGACGCCATCCGTGTATGGTTTGATAAGAAGGGGCTGCAGCGCTCAGGTCGTGGAGTCCATGACCGAGGAAGCGTAGATAGCGTCCTACTTGACTCGTGCTACTGAAGACCTCCGAGGACACGGGCAGGTGGCTGCAGCCGCAAGGTTTAGTTGTCGGACTGTGACATTGTCGTGCAATGCAACAGAGAGACGCAAGAAACGGCACCCTTTGCCATAGCCTGGCTGTTCAAGGTTACCTAACCTTGTCTATCTCTGCTTCTCTTTTTGCTCGTGGCACATACCCACTGCCCAGTTGGAGCTTGAGCTCTTGCATATATATATATATATATATATATATATATATATATATATATATATATATATATATATTGTTACCACATGTGTAATTTAGGTATGTGCACCTGTGTAGCGGG